TAATTAACCTGTTTCTACTCTTCAGTTGCACTAATATATTCTATATAGAGGGCAGGAGTAATTTTGGAGTTCGTCAGCAGAGGGCAGTGTAGCGCTTATTGTGTTTCCGGGGCGTTACGTCAGTTTGTCCCGCTTTGCGATCTTTCTCTTTCTGCTGAGCGAGATGAAAGACGGACGCAGACTTTGCCCTGTCTCATTTATTTCTCCTGTTTCAGGTTGGTTGATGTGTAAATTAAGTTAAACAACTGAAATCTAATATGTTTATATGTCGCTGAATGTTTTAAGGGCCGTGTAACAAGGCTGTGTTATGAAAATGTGGACATATATGTAAATAACATTACAGCAGTGTTTGTATGTTCGCGCCCGGTGACGTCATCTGTGATTACCAAAGTCACGTCGAACGGAGTTTTATTTTTAGTTCTTTGAACATTTTTGTAAAGTTAGATAGTTTTGAAATGTATGAGATTGTGTAATGTGTGAAAAGCTAGTGTTAAAACTAAACGTTTTATATTCTAAAAGTGGTTTAAAAACAAGTTAGAAGTCTGTCAGCTCATGCATTGTGGAAGAGTAAAAATGATGCTAGTTGAAAAGGCATTTAGGAATTATATGCAAGTAATAACATGAGCTAGGTTTTATATTAAGTTGAAAAGAGACAACTTACAAGGTAACAGAGGTTTTTGTCATTTTGATTTATTTTATCATACACAATTTATCTCAGTAATTGCTGAAAGAGAAAAAAAAGACAAATTGTATTTTATTTTTGAAACTGTCTATTTCATGAGAAAACATTGTGTTTGTAACCAAGTAGGATTTTAATTGTGATTGTGTAATAAATCCTCTTGGCTCTCTTTCTGCTGAGCGAGATGAAAGACGGACGCAGACTTTGCCCTGTCTCATTTATTTCTCCTGTTTCAGAGCGAGAGCATATAAGCCGTTTACATGATACCAGCCGGTACCTGTAACACATGCGTAACAAATGCACGTAAAAACTCATTTTCGCGTATAAATTGCACGATAAACACACTGCGTGCTATAGAGACGCATTTAGTGTGATCGGGTTGCATACACACATGAGTCAATATTATAAACACTACAGATCATTCGTAAGACACTACATAAAAAAATGGAGAACCAGAGGTGTAAAGTCCAGGGGTCAGAAAGTAAAAGTCCTGCCATATGTTTATTCCACCCAGATTTCACCAATTAGTTCTCTCTCCTGTCTGAAGAACTGTGCTAATTAGCAAATCCAGGTGATTGGAACAACATACTGAGGAGGACTTTTACTTTCTGAAACTGGACTGCGTTCCAGTCCAAAATTTACATGCCCTTCACTCGCTAACTTCACTCGCATACGCCATTGCTTAATGACAAAAAAAGGATTTCCAGAATATATTTATCCCAGAATATTTTAATGATCTTATTTTTTTCTACATTAGCCCATCATGTAGCTGTCTAGCCGTTCCGATTGATGAATCTGAACGTATTGTAGTTTTAGTTTACATGAACTCCAAACACGTGATCGGGTTGATGTGTGTGTTTATACGTCACAAGCTTCAAATCGGATTACATGTTTTGAAATGCGCACACTGCACATACACAGAGTTTCCCACCGTTTGCACTTAATAACTATCTCCTACAATGGTTCTTTTAAACAGCAGACTCAATATTTATCCATTTCTGGTCATAATTTGGAGACTATGAACATATGAACCGCTGTGCCGCTGCTTATATGGATCACGCAGTAAAAATGCTCCACTTCACACACGCAGTGAAAGGAGAATTATTCATAAACACTCATTTATGACACTTTATTCAACAGGTTCCACGCGTCCTATCAGTTTCGGTGTTCAGTCGATCAAGTGTTCACATGTTCTCTCGATCGGATTAGAAAAGGAATAAACCAGCCCTTTCAATCCGATCGAAATTATTTGTAGTAGAGATGACACTTCAAGTTTTTAATGGGTTATGTTATAGGCCTGCTTGTTTTTAATGTTTTTATGAAATGACTGCATGATCAGTATTTGCCACCATGCGAGCCACAAATTAAAGCTTGGCGAGCCACACAATGATTTGATAACACACTAGATATAACATTATGGATTAAATTACATAAATCAGGTATTTTCTAATATGGCAACTGTATTACTGTAATTATTTCAGCAACAAGCGTGATTTGAAACATGTATCTTGCATTGTTTGCTGTTGAATGAACTGATTGTTAAAAGTACTAAACTGAAAGAAGATCATACTGTTGTGTTTCGGTGATTAAACCATTACATATTACAATAATCTTGTGTTTGAAACAATGATTATGTGGACTGAAATGTGTATAATTGTAATGAAAGCATGTGATCAGGTTTTGAAAGAATGACTAGATGTGTTACAAGTGTGATCAGTTTGGATTTTAGCACTAAGAGTTTTGAAAATCTACACCTTACTTGTAAAAATAGTACCAAAGCGAATGCAAAAATCCCATAAAATGTTGCTGCCATATTTTATTTTACATTAAAGTGTTATGTTTTTTTTGGGTTTTTTTTAAAAAGCATGCACTTTTTATTTAATTTGTATCTTGTATTTGTCCTATTGCTTGAAATGAGTTTCTTTGTTCTTATTTTATTACTGAATGTTTAGTAAGCTTGAGCACTTTTGACTTATTAGTCGAGTAATGTGTAGCAGTTATGAAACTTTCATTGTCATTGTCATCATTATTGTGAACTGCAATGACTCGTATGGTCATATACTGTAAGATGTGACCTCTGCAGTGTGTATATGAGTCAGTCACAACATCTTTCGGTTTAAAGCAGAAGTGTGTGAGAAGTCTGATGATCTTCTCGTTTCCTCTAGAGATACAGATTTAATACGGGTGATTAAAGTGAAGGAGAGAGCATGTAAACACTGTGGCTGTTGTGTGTTTTAAAGAATTTGACATGACCTAAATGAATCTGGAAATAACCCATGTTTGAGGTTTAAAAAAAGCTAATCTTGTAAAAAAAACTTTATTTCAATAGTGCGCTTTAGACATTCTGCAACTACATGTCAACGAACTCTCATTAGAGTATTAGTCGACTGTTAAGGGTTCGGGTTAGTAGAATAAAATCACATGTAGTTGCAAAGTTACTTATAGTCTGTTGAGGAGCATCAAAATAAAGAGTTTATAAGATATTAAGCAGACAGTCTACTAATACTCTAATGAGAGTGAGTTATTGTTATTAATAACTAATAGTTATGTTATGTATATATATATATATTTTCTACTATATGCTCGGTTTGTTTCCCCCCCAATTTAAGATCTTTGGTGTGTCTTCTGTGCTGTCGAGTGTGTGTGTGTGTGTTTTCATGCACTCTAAAAAATGCTGGGTTGTGTCAACTCCGATTTGGGTCAAACATGGACAAACCCTAATGTTGGGTTAAAAATGTAATTAAAAAATGTACAGTTGAAAGTGAAAGTTGAAGTTGGGTTAAAATTTTAAATTACATTTGGGTTTGTCCATATTTGACCCAAATTTGGGTTAAAACAGCCCAGCATTGTTTAGAGTGTGAGGTAATGCAAGATCTGCGATAGTCTCTTAAAACTGTCAAAACAACTATAATTCATCTATCTTTGACATCTAAGCGCTCACGTTGAGCCGGTTCACCCACTGTGACACAGATCACTCTGTGTGAGCCTTTCTTATCAGACCAAAACAGACCAAAAGTTTCCTGCAAACATATCCGTTGCTTTTTATTTTGCTCTTTTCTTCTGCATTTTCTTCTCTTCTACCTCTTTTTTCATTCTGCACACTTCTTACTTCTTTTGGCTCCTTCTTATTTTAATACTCTGATCTTCACAATCTTCATCTGTTAGATACAATACTCTGGTTTTTATAATAAACTTTACATTTACTTGATTAAATTGTTTGTCTCTATAATTTTACATTTTTACTTAATTGCTTATTCCTTAATCAAATTTGATCTTTGACATGATCATTGCTCGTCTGCCTGGATCTCACTGTATAATGTGCAGCAGGATCACACAGTTTTCAGCATTTTACACTCTAAAAAATGCTGGGTTGTTTCAACCCAAATTTGGGTCAAATATGGACAAACCCTAATGTTGGGTTAAAAATGTAATTCAAAAATGTACAGTTGAAAGTGAAAGTTGAAGTTGGGTTACCATTTTAAATTACATTTTTAACCCAACATTTGGGTTTGTCCATATTTGACCCAAATTTGGGTTAAAACAACCCAGCATTGTTATTGAAGCATTTATAAATGTGTTGTCAACTAGACACAGACTTAAAGGTTTCCCTCAAATTTTCAACCAAACTTGACGGTTTAACGTTTTGAAAGTGAAGAATTTGAGACATTGGTATTGAATATTAATAATTATTACATTTTTTATGCAATTGTAGTATTACAATATGCAAATATATTTATATCCCAATTTTTATAATTAATAAATCAAGCAAAGACTTTGTTTGTTGTTACTCTGATCAATTTGATCTCTAAAAAGGTAGAAAAGACTGTGACCCTTATACAGAGCAACTAAAAGGCGTTTAAAATATGACTAAATATTAATAGAATTTATGGGCGCACAACCAATCAAAAGCTTCAGGTTAAATATTGACTAGATAGACCTATCTCCACTAAACACCTCGCCTCTCTGAAACACTAGCCTACATCACGACAATGACACGGAAAGAAAAGGCAGAGTTGTTCTCCTCTTACAGAAGCACAGTAATATTATTCACATGACAGCAGAGCAGACAGTTATTTGTTTGATTAATAAGGTTGGGTTGAATATCGTGTTTGACTTCAATGATAAATAAACATATGAGACTGAAAACGTCGGTAGAAATAAACTCGCCCTTGATATGTTTGCTCGCGCGTTTCCGCTGTCACGTATTCGTATGAATATTATAGAATTCAATGGAACGAAACGTGTGACCGCCCTTCAAAAATGTGCGTCGCCGTTTCTATCAATGCGTGCTATTCTTTATAGTTTAAAATAGAAATGTTACCTTTCAAGCGCGGAATCCTCTGATATTAAAACCACCCTCCAGTTTTTCTTATTTTTGCCATGAACATGATAAATGCATCATTTATTCAAGGCCTTTTCGGATGTCCGTTTCTCCATCGCGGTTTAGAGTAATCCACTGAAGTATAGTGCAGATGATGAGCGAGCATTTTTAGAATATGACCGATGTCGATTAATAGGAATTATTGCACTCCTGATTATGCCCGCATAGAGAGCTCTGCGCCTCCATTGAGCATCGGCGGGTGAATCTGATGTGATGCGCACTGCGCAGAGATAGGCTGAGTCCTGTAGGAGGCTCTCCAGCTCCAGCACTGCGTGACCATAAACAAGGGTCCATAAGTTCACAAAGAAAGGCAGCTAGATTACCATATAACATAAATAAATAGCCTACTTTACTTTCGAATTTAAAATACATATACAAAACAGACGTTATAGGCCTATCTAGTAAATATAATCAAAAGATATATGTTTACTTGCAGCTATTACAGTTTTTTATTCGCTTTGGTACTATTTTCACAAGTAAGGTGTACATTTTCAAAACTCTTAGTGCTAAAATCCAAACTGATCCCACTTGTAACACATCTAGTCATTCTTTCAAAACCTGATCATGCTTTCATTACAGTTATACACATTTCAGTCCACATAATCATTGTTTCAAACACAAGATTTGTAATATGTAATGAGAACATTTGGTTTAATCACCGAAACACAACAGTATGATCTTCTTTCAGTTTAGTAGGCCTACTTTTAACAATCAGTTAATTCAACAGCAAACAATGCAAGATACATGTCTCAAATCACGCTTGTTGCTGAAATAATTACAGTAATACAGGCTACAGTTGCCATATTAGAAAATACACTTACATTACCTACAGTTTTTTTATTCGCTTTGGTAGCCTACTATTTTCACAAGTAACTCTTAGTGCTAATATCACAATAGATCGTCAAAAGTGCACTTTTTTGTGAAATGTTGTTTCTTGCGTATGTTGCTGCATATGCGTGTGTGCGTGTGTGTGTTTGTGTATTTTGTCTGTTTCAGGTGTGAAACTCGATTGGAGACTCCGCCTGTCAATCTGCTGACGTCAGGAATCGGGCCACCAATCGCCTGTCACCACAAGGACAAGGATTTCGGATATTGCCATCTTTGTAGAGACATTTTGTCCCCATAATGTAGTTTAACAGGACACACACACACACACACACACACACACACGCTGTTAAAGCTCCGCCCTCTGCGCCGGGAGCAGCAGCTCATTTGCATTTAAAGGGACACACACAAAACGATGCGTTTTTGCTCACCCTCAAAAAAGGACAAATTTTATATGCTATAAAAAATTATCTGTGGGGTATTTTGAGCTAAAACTTCACATACACACTCTGGGGACATCAGAGACTTATTTTACATCTTGTAAAAGGGGCATTATACCACCCGTTTAAAACAATCGATTAGCTACGGTTTTCCAAAATATTTAAGTTTTTACATTTTACATGCATAAGGGGAGACCAGGGAGTGTTGTAACACTGTCAGTTTGACAAGTCAGAAAGAGCTGTGGTTATGTCATCAATATCATACACTAGCATCACCCTTTTGAGCTCACGGGAGAAGTGGCATGTGACTGTGAGCAACATTGTACATTTTATGACCAAAAAAATACTTTCTTTCCCTTCAGGAAGGAAAGTTAAAAAAATTATCACGATTATGTTGTGCCCGGCAATCATTATACAGTTATTTGACTTGCAAAGTAGCTATTTCTCTAGTCTAATTTGATGCTTTGCATTCATGCTGACTTCAAACCCACATGCCAAAACAGTTAGCTAAGTTATGACTGTTAGGGACAGTGGTAACGGTTCATTAAAAATGATACAACCAACCCTGTTAAGACAAAATCATGTTTGTTGCACATTGAGGGATTTGTGGTAAATATGACCACAATATGTCAGTTTAGCTGTCCTGCATGCTTATTAAACACACCTGATCCAGCTCATAAACTCTGTCAGGCTCATGTGAAAACCACAGAGCAGGGCACAACCTAACGCTTTGTGGCTTTCTCAGTTTATATAAATCTACTTAGGGTTCAGAGTATTTATTTTTTCCCACATTAATTTCACACGTCTAAGTACAATTATGTGGTTTTGTTTTATTAATACAGTGTAAACTTTTTTCATGACAACATGCATGGGGCACATTATAAGAAGACCGTATGACAAATTAATGTGTTATCTGATCTAATCAAAAAATATACAAGACAACCTAAAATATTTTCTCAATAAAATACAATTATTAACTTTTTCATATAAAATAATGGCATTTTTTTATAATTAAAAATAAAATAATTTTTAAGTTTGACAACGAACAAACCGGAAAACAGAGCCATACAGCATAGTTCAAAACATATAATAATGAACAATTCCTGAACATTGCCTCTCAGTCTTTATATTCACCTTTTGTCATGGTCTCTCAATACAATTGATAAAAGTATAGAATATAATCATAGTTCTATTAGGGGTTCATTGTAACGCAGTGTGACAACATGCCCCGCCTGCACAACTGTGGTTTAAACCCGGCGAGTGTGTCCTGCTGTTAGATCAGCATTAACTCTCTCAACTGTTCAACAACAGATATAAGATTAAAGTATGATCAGATTTGACTAATGTTAAATAAACACAAAAAAGAGAGATGAAAAATTAACACAAGTAAGAAACTATGGTTAAATAAATGTTCAGTAATATCCTTCAAAGATTTCCGAATTTTGCCGCAGTTTTTTCTCTATATAGTGTTGATATGGCAACTAGTGTGGAAATATTTAAAACAAGTTTTAATGTATTTGCTAAAAAAATTATTTTGGATAATTTTTAACCCCAAAAAAGGTACGGACTGCAGCTTTAAAGGGGTCATATAATGCCATTTTTGTACAAGCTAATATGATTCTTTAGGGTCTAAATTAAAACTTTGTAATATACTTTAATTAAAAATTCTCATTAGTATTGTAAGACAACACTTATTTTACCTGGTCAAAAACAGCTCTGTTTTCAGCACGCCGTTTCAGTGCATATGTCTTTTAAATGATCATGAGCTGCGCTCACCCCGCCCCTCTGTTCTGTGCGTACACCGTTTGTAACACAATAATACAATAACCATAACGCGTTGTTCAGTATAAACGTGGGATTATGAATTATATTGAGAACGTCGTACATAGAAAACATGCCGTAATGTACCCTGAGTGTAAACCTTAGACGCATTCATTGTGAAGCGTGCAGCTAGCGATTTGCAAAGATATAAATATTAATATAAAGTTTAATAAAACGTTACACTCACTTCCGTTCTTCTGGAGATTCAGCAGGAACACGAATATCTGGTACCGATCCTTTATTCATGGCAGCTTCTTCCTTTATTCGAGCAGCTTCTTAGCAAATCCAGCTTTATACTGATCCTCGTTTATAAAGCAGTGAGAAATGATTCGCGCAAACATGAGAGCATTGACGTTGCTCGTGGAGAATATTCCCTTCGAAAACAAACTCAGCCACTGCGTCTTCAGCGGTTCGGATTTAGGAACATTAAAATGACTGTGTTCGTTATTACACCCAAGAACAGAACACCACAATCGCTTAGACGCCATTCTGCTAATAGACAGTGCTCCAGCATATCAACAATGACCGCGCCGGTCCGCGCAGACTATGATTGACAGCTCTCACGAGCGAGGGCGGGTCTGTGTTGAAACACTCCAGTCAATCAACAATCGTTGGAGGGGCGTCCGTTTTATTGACGTCACAAAAACGAACGGCTCGATTTGAGGCAGGGGAAAACATATAAGGAGATTAAAACAAAAACACTGGATGGATTTTTATCATTATATGATGGTTGTGTACAGGCACTGCCAACACACATTTCAGTACAATCAACTTGTAAAAGTGCATGTACCATTATATGACCCCTTTAAAGTCCCCGTGAACCGGAAGTTGCAAACGACTTTTCTCCAGCGTTGTGACGTATTTCCGAGAGAAACGGAATACTAAATAGTGGCAAAATAGTGGGCGTGGCTTTTTCCCCAACTTGCACCTGATTGGATCTAGAAAAGTAGGCGTTGTCATTCAGCCTGTCTACTGTCAGTTGGAGGGGCGTGGTTACGGATGTTAAGAAGACGCCCAAACCATGAAACCTATGTCATCAGGGAAGGTCCTCCAATGCAGAGGGGAGGGGAAATTTCAGATTTTGATTAAAGATTACGAAGCCAAAAATTTTTTTTGTGTGGATTGACTTGCATGGATGAATTGTTCACCACAAAACGATCAATTTAGGCAAACAAAGTAAGTATGGTCAATTTTGAATTCATGGGGACTTTAAATATAGCAGGTAAACAGATAAAATGACAATTTTTTCTTAGTGTGAAGAACATTTTAATAATCTAAAGAATCTTTTGCAATGTAAAGATTCAACGGATGTTAAAAGGTCTTCATGGAACCATCAATGCCACAGGGGTTAAATCGTTTTTCCTCGGCCAAACCCCATTCCAGCCCGTCACACACCCAGCTTAAGAGCAGTTTTTCTTCTTCTTAGGAGTATAGTGAGTACATGCTTTTTACCTTGGCAAATGAGAACATTAGCATTTAAAGAAAGGCCATTTTGAACTGTGTTTCTATTATTTACTCACTTAATGCAATTTCAATGTTTTCAATCTAATGCTTTTACAAGACTTGGCTCTTTGTGACGTAGTCATTCAAATAATTAACCATTTGCATTTCTCAAATAATAAAAGCCAATGGAGCTTTTGTCGAAGTGAGCTAATATCACAAACTATAGTATCTGTTTTTAACCTAGCCAATATAAATAAATAATATAATGTTATTTTTTTTTATTTTATCTATGCTGATTATATGAAAAGTGAACAGCATGACTCATGAGTAAGATAGGATCATTAGATGCGCAATATATCGGGAGACGTGTGGAGTGGGTCAGACAAGATTTTGACCACTTCATTAAGTTTAGTTTTGTATAAAGCCTTTCTTTAAAGTGAATTTCGTTTTGTATAAATTGTATCTTGATTTTAATTGATGTTTCATCAACCAATTGCCTAGAT